AGCACAAAAAAAAAAAAAAAAAAAAAAAAAAAAAAAAAAAAAAAAAAAGTAGTATAAAAGCTTGAAGATTATAATTGACATGATATCAGAAGATATCAAAGGAGAAGAAATGCAAAAGAAGAAAACCTGGGAGGCATTCTCAGGACCAACTTCTAGTATGTTTCCTCGCTTCCCGAGGTTGACTTCAAGAGACATGACTAATCCTTCTCTAAGAGGATCAATAGCTGGATTTGTAACCTGGTGTTTTACACACGAAAAACCACCTAATGAATGATATCAGCTTTAAAGATTTGGCATAAAGATACTACAAAAAGGTAAACTTGAACATCATTCTGGAACAAATAACAGAAAACAAAGAAACTGAAAGCATGTTTACCTGATAAAAGGGCCATGTCACACATTGGATATTGTTACTAATCATACAGTAAAGACTAAAGAGTGCCATGTCTATTGAAAGATATGGATACAAAAATTTCAAACCTGAGCAAATCGCTGCTTGAAATAATCATATAGCATATGTGGTTTTCTAGACAATACTGCCAATGGAATATCATCCCCCATGCAAAAAGTAGGCTCCTTCCCTTGAGATGCCATTGTTTCAATTACCATTTGAACATCCTCACTAGAATAGCCATGTGCCCTATTTTCATCAATAATTAAGATAAAAGTTATGACAGTTAAAAGACTAAGAGCATGTTTGGCTAAGCTTGAAAAAAAAATTTTCATATAAGTTTACTGAAATACAAAATAGTTAATTTCTGCCATGATGAGGCAAGAGACTTGCTTTCAAGATAAATGGTAAATTCATCTTCAGAAAACACCTGTATATATTTTAAGCAGACGTCATTTTCCACTGTAAAATGGGGGTGGGGTTGTGTACAGCCTCCATCTCACATTGTTCCTCACACCACTTTTTGGCAAAAAGATCAAAAACATTTGCTTCACTATTTTCAAATCTACTTCAGCTTTCTATCACAAGTTTTACTAAACTTGAGACAGAAAATTTTGAAATTTAAATGTGAGCGTATTTTCATTTTTAGATAATGACATTCTTTTTGAGACTGATATAGATTAAGTTTAAGTCACACATTTATCCAGCCAAGAGCTGGAAATTAAAGCATCACAATACAAAACATCAAAGATACAAATGAAGTAAAAAATCCAAAGACTTACTGTTGACGTCTAAATATTGCTCCGTTGTCCACTAGGTTTTGTGAAAGAAAGTTCACAGGCTTCAAAATTCGGAGGTTTTCGCTCACCCATTTTCCATAAGGATTTGATAATGCAACTTGCTTTTTAACCTCTGCATTCTCATACACCTAAAAAGAATAATTAAGAAATTATGGCAAAGAAACATGTAATTATCTATGTATACAGCCTCCAGAAATTAGAGATCAATAATTAGAATTTTGAAAGTACAATCTAATATGAATCATAAGTTCTGTATATAAAGTGATTGTCTCTACTATTAAGAATAAGGAAAACTACATTTTAACGCCATCAAAATTACAGACAACTAAATCTCTTTGCGAACCTGACCACTGGGTAGATTAACAGCTATCATCATTCCAGGACCTAAGCGCCCCTTCATTATGACTTTTGAATCATCCATGGGAAGGACCCCAACCTAGAAAGAATAGGATAAATTGTAGATCAGAATATATTTTTTTTGCAACTGTATATGGGGATATATTAATGCAAAGAAGATGAAAACGAATCTTAACTGAAAGCAGTAAATTAAAGTAAGTGGTTCAGAAAAAGGTCACATGGCAATATTTTACTCTCATCACTTTCTGCATATATATTGTAACATAAACTTTGATTTCATATGAAAGAAAGGTAGGTTTAATGGTCCTCGACACAGCATTCCGTTCTATATTTACACTATTTCAAAAAGATATACAGTGTTTTGGAATAGAGTCTTGGCTACATTTTTTTTCATGGAAGTAAATACACATCATCTTCCATTTAAGTACCAGAACTTTTAAACGGAAAAAGTTTGATTATACGTCTTTATGCAAAAAGGCCATAGTTTTAGCTTCTTTTGGGCATCTATAAATTAGCAATTCAAAGGTTCTCACTACGCCCTTCCATCTCATAATTATCTATTGGAAGGGTCTTTAGATGTAGTTTGAATGTTTTCTCGTTTTCTTTTTCTAGATAGAAGATGCTTGTTCCTTGATTTCTTTGTAATAATCCTAAGTCTCATCTAAAAATTTTATTGGTTCCCAAATTAAGGTACAAATCATGGACAATATTGTCATCCAAGCTATCTTATATATTCCATGAAAGTTTAAAATCCAAAAAAGGACCTGTGACAGATGAAGAAAACATACTTACCTCGGAGGCAACATAGACGACATTGTCTATTGTTCGCCAATATCTAGCAGGACGAAGTCCATTACGGTCAAGACAAGCTCCAACTGTTTTTCCATCACTATGGCAAATGATGGAAAACAAAGATGAGAGAATACACGACAAGAACAGTAAGCTAAGACTTATTCCGAAGAAAAACAAAGATGAGGATATGACAGAGAAATCAAATAGACAAAAAAGTTAATTAGGTTATGCTCACATGATTGAAGAAATGCTGTAAATGATGCAATCCAAAATTTCCTCTTATGTCGAGATCAACATCGTCTAAACTTCTTAATAATGTTAATATATTTTATATAACCGCTGCATAAATGACAAACAATAAGACCTGCACTTGCTAAGTCACCTGAATAAGAGTAAAGCAGGTCCATCCCAAGCCTCCATTTGACCCTTGTAGTAGTCATAAAAATCAACAATCTGAGAAGAAAGAATAGTCAGCTGTGTCTATGGGGACTTGCAACTGATATACTTCAATAAAAACACATCAGAATTCAAAACTTAATCTATAAATTTGTAAGACTTTGAAATTAGTGCATAAAACACAAACTATTACAAATTAAGCAGCATGAAGAAATAGTTCAGTAATTAAAAGGAAACTGTAACGGGGTAAATGACCTTTGTGAAAAGCATATATGAGTTATACAATAAATATAATACCTCAGGATATTTGATAGCCAATGTTGGATGATTTTTGTATGCCTCTGGAACAAGAATCATCAGGGCTTCCTCAGGAGTGCGACCACTTCTTATTAAAAACTGTTTAAAACATATATTAGAAAATTATTGCCTCTAGAATGCATTTCACGGACCAACAAAGAAAACACGTGCATATAAATGCAATAGACCATACTTCTGCAGCACTATCAAGATTTGCAGAATCAGATGCCTTTGGGTTTCCAAAAGGGCGGATTTCATTTTCACGACCACGCCAAAAGGGAGACTTTAGTGAAGCCTCACGAGATTGCATCCAGTTCAAGTTCCCCTGCATTAAACTTTCAGCCTCAATACAATGACCAATCAGATAATGCATGAGAATGAACATCATTAGAACAATTTAACCTGTATAGTATTGATCTCTCCATTGTGACCAAGGAACCTCATTGGTTGAGCTAGTGGCCATCTAGGACTAGTATTTGTACTATATCTCCGGTGGTAAATAGCAAAGGGAGATTTATAAAGATCATTTTGTAGATCAAAATAAAATTTACCAAGAACCTCTGAACGAAGCATTCCCTTGTACACAATAGTTTGACTGGATAATGAGCAGAAGTAAAGTTCATTTCCCCAAGTCTCTGAGCTGGCTGCTCTTTCAATCAACTTCCTACAGATATACAGTTCTCTTTCAATGTCATCGATGTTTTCTTCTTTAGCAATTTGTACAAAGACCTGCTGTATGTTCGGCATAGTTTCTCTTGCATAGTAACCAACTATGGAAGTATCTACAGGTACAGTCCTCCATCCAAGAACTTGAAGACCCTCTTGTTTAAATATATTCAAAATAACTGCATAAGCAGATAAAAGTTTCTAAAGACAGTCTCAGAAGAAGAAAAATAACAGGGTATACTGATAGAATTGACGAAGTAGAGTAACAGATTCAATTCAGTTTTGCAAATTTCAAAACTATGCGCAAATATTGAAGCAATTAGAATTCTAAAATTCACTTGAATAGCCTATGACAGTTACTTCTGACTCCTAAAAGAAATATATTTTCGATGCTTACATGGACATGGTCTTGGAGCCTCTTCTAGCATGAAATTTTGTAAATGTAATCCTTACGTAAATATGTCGCTAAGGACAATATTCCATAATTTTCTCAAGAAAACAGTAATCACAAACAACTGGAATACTCATGATGTGGTCATCTATCAACTGATAGTTCAAAGTCAAACTGCAAATTGATTAACCTGTTTGGGCTTGTTTCATAAGGTCATCGTCCTTCGGAAGGAAGATCATTCCAACACCAGTATGAGACTGGTCTAAGGCACCAATCCCTTGTTCGTTAGCCCAGTTGTTGAAAAGCTCCCAGGGAATTGAAGTCATGACTCCAGAACCATCACCAGAATCATTATCCGCTCCACAACCACCACGATGCTCCATGCATCCAAGAGCAGTAAGGGCATCCTCAACTATCTCACGTGATCCTTTATTTTCCAAGTTGGCTATAAATCCAACTCCACATGCCCCTCTTTCAGATAATATATCGTCCAAGTTTGCAACCTAAAATCATAAACCAAGTTCATCGTGGTGAAATAGCAGTAAATGGATCACTTCTTAAGAAAATGAATGACCTGAATATCTACCAACTTGAAATGTGAGAATGACAATTGTGAGCTATGAATAAATTTCCTCTAACAAACTTGATCTCATATTTCTACAAAACCCATTCTCGTTACAATTTGAGCAAGGATCTCATCTTGCAATAGTCCATCACTGTTAATGTCTATGGCGTGCATGACCACTTGCAAAAGTTGCAGGGAAGTAAAATTCCTTTATAGTTTACCAACATCGGAGTTTTAATCAACATTTGGATCCTTCCATAAAGTCTACTTAACATCATTCGATTTCGCATGATGCAAAAACTATCAGTTGGCTGAATACAATTAAAGAATTTGAAAGGAAAAATATAAATAAAATAGACAGCAGCCAAAAGCCTTTTGGTCAAAGGGTACAACTTCTTGGTCATTTGTAGTCTTTATGATGGTTCCTATGATTAGACAAAGTCTAGATTTCTTATTCTTCTTCTACATCAGTAGATACTGGCACAGCAAAGCTCAGAGAAAAGACTGAGAGCATGTGTGGCTAAGCCTAAAAAAAGTGAAGTTACTTAAAAGTAACTTTTGCTTAGTAACAGAAGTTCGAACCCAGCTCAGTTCATCCAGCTGCAACACAATTCAGTTAGCATGGTAGTTAGCAGTGATAGTCAGTTAGCCACGTGTAATCTTCAGATTGGATGTAACAGTTAGTTAGTTGAATGTACAGTTAGTTAGCTGGCTAGAGATCTATCTATTCAAGACTTGTAATTCATTTTCACTTGAATGAGAATAAATTCCTCTTCATTTCAATATGGTATCAAAGCAATAATTTGCTTCCTTTTTCATTGCAATAATCTGCACGTCCTTGAATCAAAATGGCAGAAGCTGTAAATCAAAACCAATCCTTCAATTCATCTTCCTCCTCAATGAGCAATTCCGCCATAGAGGATGGATCAAGCCCTACTTTCTGCATCATTCCGATAATCCAGGTTTGGTTCTTGTTTCCCAACCTTTGACAGGAGAGAACTATGCTTCCTGGAGTCGTGCTATAGACATCGCTTTATCAGTGAAGAATAAGATAGGATTGATCAATGGATCCACACCGAAACCTAAGAAGAATGATGATTTTTTGAATGCCTGGATCTGAAACAATAACATTGTGATATCATGGATTCTTAACTCAGTTTCCAAAGATATTTCACCTAGCATTATCTATGCTGAATCTGCTTAAGAAATTTAGGATGATCTCAAGGAGAGATATCAACAAAAGAATGCTCCTCGTATATATCAGTTGAGGAGAGAACTGATGAACATTACCCAAGGCCAATCTTCTGTAAGTGTGTATTTCATGAAGTTGAAACCCATTTGGGAGGAACTCAGCAATTACAGACCAATGTATACATGTGGAAAGTGCAATTGTGGAGGAACAAAGAAATTGACAGATCACTACCATATGGAATATATTATGTCTTTCTTAATGGGGCTAAATGACTCATTTGCTCAGGTGCGAGGTCAGTTGTTGATGATGGACCCTCTTCCCTCCATAAACAAATTATTCGCACTCATACCTCAATAAGAACACCAAAGGAGCATCAATGCGAACATTAATGCTGCTGGTAACACTGATTCAATGGCATTCCAGGTTAAGAATGATGCCAAACGGTCCAACAAAATTCAGAGGAGGGAGAGACCTGTTTGTACTTACTGTGGATACACAGGACACGCTGTGGATAAATGTTATAAATTACACGGCTACCCACCTGGATTCAAGATAAAGCAGAAATCAACCTCTAGCAATCAAGTAAACCATGCCATTTCAAACCAAGTCTCTGAATCTTTTTCTGAGCAAGCATGTGGCAATGTTGGAGACTTCATGCAGAATTTAAATTCCAATCAATATCAGCAATTGATGAACTGAGCTGGATTCGAACAACTTCTGTTACTTAGACAAAACAAAAAGAAAAGGACTCTTTTTCACGAAAGAATTACTTCCACATTCAGTTTTCTCAGCAAGCATTATAATTTCAAGAAATGAAAATACACAAACACACACATAGGGGGAAGCAGAAGCGCAACTAAGCCATTGATCATTTAAGTCAAGTTGCAGCCACCTCTCACCCCCACCCATTAAATAATATCATCAAACAAAAAAGGGAAAAAAAACTACTAATAATCACAAATTCCTATTTCAGTAATTCCAAAAACCATTGTAATTACAGGAAATCAAAAAAACAAATGGCAACACATACACACACACATATATAGAGAGAGAGTGTGTAGGAATCAGACCCACCTTGGGTTCCAAATCCGAAGACTGTTGAAGTAAGCCATTGTTGACACGTTCGATATCAGGAACAGACTTAATGGAGGCCCAGTTTTTCTTCAAACCAAGAAAACTTCTTTGCACATTACTATTATTTACACCACCCACTCTCCGCCGAGTACATGACGAGTTTTTATTTGTTTTCTTTCCACTACACAACCCAAAAAAATCAGCAAAAATCAAGTCTTTATTGGTATTAGTAATTCCATTCCCAGCAAAGAGCTTAACAGATTGCACCACCTGCGCTGAGTGTACAGACATCTTTCATCAACCTTCTTCACTTACCCACTCAAGTGTGTGCTTGTGCGTGTATATACACACACACAATCTAGCCACCTGTTTGTGAATGTGTTGGTAGAACTAGAAATGAGGAGTGTGGAGAAAGAAAGAGGGAGAGAGACTGCGAGTGTTACGAACGTGTGGAAATGGAAGAAATGAATATAGATTTGGGGAGATAAAAGAAACGCTATGAGCCACCCGCGTTTATTTTGGATCTTGGCCTCTAGTTTTCGACTCAACTGATGATGTGACATGCACACATATGATAACTACATGGTACGGACCCTGTTTGGTCCTGCTTTTAAGTTTATTTTTAATTACATATTTTATGATATTTAAAATTTTTATCAGCTTTTAATCACATATTTCATTAATTTTATTAAAATCTGATTTTTGCCAAAAGCAAACGGAGCATGACATTAGATAATTGGCGTAATACTCTTTTACATTCATCTATTTTGTGAAATACCTTTCTAACGTTTCATTTTGACGCAAAACTCTCCTAAGTCATCCAAACATTGTGTCAAATAACACTATTGTCCATTTTTTCTTTTTTGTCATATAGCCTTGTAAAATGATGATTTTACATTTTCCCTTTAAATAAGCCCCTGTGTGACAATCATTGAAAATTCTTTTTTAATCAAATTCATTTCCAATCATCTATTTTTACAATAAAATATTTTGCATGTAAATTTTTTTATTTTTTAACCACACATTATTCGAAAAAGGAAGAACCATATTCCAAAACTCATTTTTCCATTTTAATGATTGTCAAACGGGGACTAAATTAAAAAATAAAAAATAATTTTAGTCATAATCTCACAATTTTAAAAAAGTGCAAATGAGTTTCAATTAAAAATAATTAAAAGAGTTTTGTCATATGGAGATCTTTGTACCAAATTTTATATATTATTTTTCTCACATACTCCGCATTATAGGTAGTTTGACGAAACTTTTGAAAAGTTAAAAAGAACTTTTGAGACTCAAAAGTAGTTTTTATACTTGTTTGGTTAATTTTATTAAAGTGCTTCTTCTAATTAAAAGAGTTTTTAGAGGAAATTGGTCCAAAGTGACTTTCTTCAAAAGCACTTCTAAAATATGAAACTCATTTACAAATTAGTTTTTAAAAAAAATAATAAATTAAAGTAGCTTCTTTCAAAACTCTTCTACAAGAAGTAAAAGCAAAAGCAAAAGAAAAAGCAAAAATCATGTCAATAGTCCCTAAGGCTCTTCATTCCCCTTTATCAACTTTTTGGTGTTTAATCCATCTCTTCAAATCATCATTATTACCTCCAACTACCCCCTTTTCATCTTGATATCATCTTAAGTGTCTTAACCACCTTTTCTTATGTTCAAGTCTTGATCGATATTTGAATATTCCATCTTTTAGTCCTTAATACCCATATCACTTTATTTTTGCTTGATACAAATTATAAGTAGAAATACATCCAAACAATTAAATATTAAGTAGATTTATTAGTAAAGAAAAATGTGTTAACGCACTTACCAGAAACTCTTATGAAAGTACAGCAAGAGGCTAATTTCTAGTTAGGACCCTAAACAATGGTACAAGTCTAAAAGGTGACTACAAATAAAAATGCTTACAATTTTTTATGAGTTGATTGTTCCAATAATCATTAAACTTAGATCGATATCTTTCATTATTCACTATAATTTTAGATATCAAGCCTTGGCCACTAAGCTTCTCAAATTATCGAATGTTATTCGTTGAGATGACTTTCATTCGCAACTATAACAAAATAGCTGACGTGACGGATGAATTGCACAACTCATGCTCAATCACTAATTAGATGCCCAATCACGAAGAAATGCACATTTGATTGCTCACTATACTTTGACAAATAGTTTTTATTGCTCAATATATTTTAATGTAGTCGAGTTTTGACATTGAACTTCTCAAATGGACTCTAAGGATTTATACGAAAATTTAGGAATTATCATGAACTACTAAGAAAAACATATGCTTTTAGAAATTTATGATAAAAATAATTTAAAGGTTTACCATTCTCTTTTTGCAAGTGAATGAATGGTTCGTAGTATTTGTATGCAAAGTCAAATACATAGAATTTTACGAGGGAGAGAAAATAATGTTAAAATCAAGAAGAACGAAATGAGAAATATTAATCACGATCCAATTAAAGCTAGTAATTACATTCAAAAATATCCAAAAATGATGATGGATGAGCAATCAAATGCGCATTTCTCCGTGATTGGATAGCAGTTTATTGATTGGGTGTCAACTGTGCAATTTTTCCATCACATCAACTATTCCATTATAGTTGTGAAACATAAGTCATTCCAATGGGTAATGTTCGACATTTTGAGAAGTTTAATGGCCAAACTCAACATCTGAAATTGTAAAGTAATCGAAAACACCAACATAAAATTAGTGATTATTAGGAAAATTAACTTAATTTTTTGATCACGATATAATTATAAAATGACAATAATATGATTACAAATAATAAACAAGTTTCTATTTATGAAAGTAAAAAAAATTCACATTTCATAAGATTCATAATTTTTATCAACTCTTTTTAAAATTACTAGTTATTGGCACGGGCGATACACATTGCATTTTTGTAATGACGTATTTAATAGTATTTTGATTATTTTTTATGCTATTTTAATCCTAGAATCTGGAAAATATGTCAGAATTTATTGTGATAAGGAAAAGAATATTTATGTCGTGTATTAGGCAAATAGTTAAAAAGTTGAAAAGGGCATAAATATCATTCGATTTCAACAGAGTGAAGTGTATTTCTACATATGGTTTCACAATGAAAAACTTGTGCTAAAGATAAACCTTCTAACATAGACCGTAATATATTTAAAAATAATTGATTTTCATATTTTAAATAGCATGTATAATTAATTAAATATGCTAATAAATTTAGGGAGGCACGATTGCATAACCCATTAAATTTGATGGCAATGTGTGTTGAAGTTAATATTGCCTTGGGAAAATCTGCAAGAATGAAATTAAATATGGATAATAGAATATATATGTGAAAGAAGCGATAGGTTAATGCAATGGAAGGAAGTAAATTATATAACATCCAAGCAGATATTGAGAAGATTTCTTATTTGCTACATAATTCGCGAGCATGTTATTGTGAATCTATCAGAAATAACATAATTTAGAATATGACATCCATGTGTTACTAATTAATTGTCTAAACTAAGCTCCAAAATAAATCACAACCTTTTTTTAGAAAATGCAGAATGAAACAAAAGCAAACAGACTCTTGAAATCAACCATTGTTTCACTCACTTGCACCCAAAATAAAGCAAGATGCTCCAAAACCAAGCATACCCAACAAATGTGCCACCTGCAAACCACGATAAATCCAATCAATACAACCACAAGTGAAGCCCCCAGGGCGCATCTCTAAGTAGTAAAAGGGGAGGGTGGAGAAATCCAACTTTGCTTGAGGCTGCCGCGTCAAGGGTTCGAATCCTGAAATATGGATTTGACTCTTGGATAAGTGCAAGTGTACAAGCAGCCTTCCTCCCTGTACCCTTGGAGGCATAACCTGTGATTTACCTCTCTCACGATACTCCAGGGTAGGAGCAGTGGGGGACCCTTAAGGTTGGGGTTCAACCTTTTTTTAATACAACCACAAGTGAAATATCAAACAATATATAGCAATTTAATTCTAGTCTATAACAAATTATAAGAAGAAACCTATGAACTCAGCTAAGGCCCGTTTGGTAGTGATTTTTTTACTGTTATTTTACTATTTCAACCGTCATTTTTTACTTCTTCACTCACATGTGATCTCCATTTTTCTCCCTAACGATAAAAAAATCAATTCTCAAAATCACTACCAAATAGGCCCTAAATAAAAAGTACCCCAAAATACATAGAGAAATCATGTGTCTACCCTTTTATAGGCCAAGTCATTAATGTTTTATCAAAACACCTTCTGCTTCTGCTTCTACTTCCACCTCAAAGTTAAGATCTTATGGATTACACAATTAATTCCAAGACTGAGATTCCATTATTTGTTGACTGAGTAAACATCACAAAAAAATAGAGCATGATGAGAACATTTGAATATCAAATAGACAACACTTCGAAAAGTACATTACAATATATGTCTGAAGCAATCACAACACTAAGTCTAACAAATTATAGTCAACAACCTTTCCAAGACTGAGGATCATCTAATTCAATCATGTATAATCATCATTATGTGATCCAAGAACGGCAACGATAAAAAGCAACATGCAAATAAAATTCCAAAAGCAACCAGAGTCTGAGTAGTTAAAATGTACATATTACTCTAACTTAACTGAGTTATGTTCACAATGCCACAAATTGCATTTAACTAATTATAGCTTAAAAACACAACTTCAACATAAATTAGAATGAAAACACTACAAAATCCAAAAAAAAAGAAAATGTCAACCAACATATAACATTGACAAGATTATTAACAAACAATACATAACAAATTTGATTCTTCAATAACTTGATTTGCAATTGGCTGATATGCATAATCACAATAGGATACGAGTGTCTTTAATAGATTTTAAGGTGAAACTGGAAAACAGTTATGTGAAATTAGTGGATTTGATTAATTACAACCTACCTACAACAAGTGCAACATTGCATGATTTAAGTTACATAGAGAAATCATGTGTCTACCCTTTTATAGGCCAAGTCATTAATGTTTTATCAAAACACCTTCTGCTTCTGCTTCTACTTCCACCTCAAAGTTAAGATCTTATGGATTACACAATTAATTCCAAGACTGAGATTCCATTATTTGTTGACTGAGTAAACATCACAAAAAAATAGAGCATGATGAGAACATTTGAATATCAAATAGACAACACTTCGAAAAGTACATTACAATATATGTCTGAAGCAATCACAACACTAAGTCTAACAAATTATAGTCAACAACCTTTCCAAGACTGAGGATCATCTAATTCAATCATGTATAATCATCATTATGTGATCCAAGAACGGCAACGATAAAAAGCAACATGCAAATAAAATTCCAAAAGCAACCAGAGTCTGAGTAGTTAAAATGTACATATTACTCTAACTTAACTGAGTTATGTTCACAATGCCACAAATTGCATTTAACTAATTATAGCTTAAAAACACAACTTCAACATAAATTAGAATGAAAAC